GCAAACTATAGTTCCGATCTCTGTGTCTGCTATCCTCAGTTCCCGCCGACCGTAATCGCTGTCTTTCTTTCTCTCTGCCTGCTTCGTCTCCGCTACGTCTTTGTCTCCACCACTGCTTCGACTCCGTCTGTCCCTCTCACTGTCTAGCGCACTTATATACGATAATACTGCCTGTTCTAGAAACTTCTAAGACTCTCAACACGTGCTACCAGCGTCAGTTGACACAACGCTGTCGCAACACACTAGCGAATCTTCTAGAATACTCGTCACGTGACCCCGCTGTCGTAACGCACTAACGAATCTTCTAGAATACTCGTCACGTGACCACCCACTGTCGTAACAATATTTGGCATGTAGTGTGTAAGAAAGATTTTTATTATTTCGTTTATTTTTGTATTCAAGTATGTATGTATTCATTTTATTTTTAACAAACATATTTTTTCTTTTTTAACTGCTAGTTCTTGTTTTACCTGTTAATTAGATAACTAATTTGTTTCTCTTTCTTTCCTCATTGTTTCCTTCCTATTTGCACATGTTGTATTCAGGTACATTGACATCTTACACACATGTTTCAAGTTTCAGGAAACAAATCTTTATTCACAATTATCTATATTAGTTACCAAATTGGCAAGAGTTTCCTTTTCTGTATTACCTGTTTTAGAAGGTCTATAGAAAAAATGTATATGCTAACTTGAGAATGTAGTTGTAGTAACTAACCTTTACTTGTGAAAAAGATTAATACCTTGCAGGATTCAGTCAACAAAGATGTGCAAATAGCTATATGGAGAAACTGCAAGAAAAACTATCAAAAGATACCTGATATAACGTATACTAAATATGGAACAAAGATGTGCAATTAGCTATATGGAGAAACTGCAAGAAAAACTATCAAAATATACCTGATATAACCTATACTAAATTAGTAGATATTTCAGCTACAACACATTCTTTATCTGTTATGGACGTTTGTTTGTATATTTCTTTCAGATTGTTTATTTTTCTTTGCTTGTTGATTCAGTTCATTTTTGCCAATCCATTTACTTTTTATATCTGTGTTATCATTTTACATTTATTTTCTCATTCCATTGAGCTAATTTTATCTTCTATATGTGGAGCAAACAAGGATAAAATTGTCTCAGAATAACACTGTGTTTTTTTTAACCTACATTCCTACCATGTATAGAGAGAGAATTCATATATTCAGACACAAATATAATAAGTGTAGTTTATGTGTACCTGATTCAACAAATTTATGTTATTAATAAAAGAGCTTATCTTTACAAACTGTCTTATTTTGCCTTTCTAAATACTTGTACAAACAATTTACAGTTATGACTAGGCTTTGCCATTTATTCTTTCTCTAAATATCATTGGTTTTTGTTACTGAAGTGTAACAGTGGAAGGTGTGGCTAACTGCTAAGGGAGCTGAAAGATTGTATCATTCAACAAGTAATATCTTTAAGAAACATTTTCATAATTTTATTTTGCATTAGACATTTGTAGAGCTAATAATTTTTCATGGGACAATTAAAGTATCTATTAAGGTTTGAAATATTCATTTATAACTGACTAAAAGTTTCCTGATAATGGTACGTTCTTGAACACAAATAATTGGTTATTTTCTCTTAGAATTTTATTGTAATAATTCTGTCTTTATGTATTATGTTTCATAAAGTTAATCAAATTAACCTTTGCAGTTTGCTTATTCATCATAGTACCGTCCTATGTCACTGAATAACATACACCTTTTCTGACCTTAAGACCATATTTCACCCGGAATGTTACTTGATAATGCAGTTTTATACTTATTTTTATTGTACAACCAAAATATGTTTACATTGTTTGAAAACAACCCTAATAATTACAGCTTATTATGTTTTCTTTCTAACATCCTATATTTTTGGTTTTAAAAAATTATTACCACAGTGTTTAATTGAAGTTTGTAGTCACAAGTGCAAAAAAGATATGTTACCAACATAAAACAGCAAAAAAGTTTTGTGCTAGAAGTTGAACAAACACGTGAATTGAATCACACAAAGGGTTAATTTTGTGGTTTTATAACTATGTTTTAACAAAATATTGTAAGCAAATATTGCTAATCATTGTTTGGTATAAGAAGTAAAATTAATAAAAAAAACAATGTGTAAACATCATTTTAATTTTTGAAGAGCTATAACTGCTCCCATATTTACTGGGAGTAACTGTACAGCTGAAACGATGACATAAACTGTTAAGTTGCTTCTTCTTCCTTTTCTTCTTCATCTTCACTTCGGATAACTGGAAATCCTAAAGGATACGTATTCAAATATATACAATTTATACTTTTATTACCAATGTAATATTAAAATTTTAATTGAAAATACTATGAATAAGATGGTGAGTCAAAATAATTATATGTTTAAAACGTTTTAAGTGATAATCAGTGATTTAGGCTAGGATTATATTGTTACGTCTCGGTTCGTTAGTTAATTTTCCGTAAATTCGTTCCGACGAAACTTTGGTGACACAAGTCCTTTCTTAAATAAAAGTGGTTTATTCTTTCCG